GACTTATTAATTATGCAATGAAAACCAGAAGTGCACGGTTAAAAAGCTTCAGAGAAAAAAAATCCTTTTCTTTGTATCTCCTTACATTTTCAGAAGCCAAGAAATGAGTTGCAATTCTGAGTTATTTAGTTAACAAAGCTATATTGAGTCAAAAGCAAATATTCAAGTTTCAAAGCCACTATTAAATTTCATAGCACTAGGCTCAAGTGACTGCTTCCCCCTCCTCCCTGCTGATAGGCACCACTGTGAACAAAGATTCTAACGGTAGAGTCATCTGTCACTCAGTTGTGACGGCACAGTAATAATAACAACCTTTTCTTTTGATGCATCTTTTCATCTTAAGAAGAACATAGTCAAAGAGTCTTAATGGTTTCAACAGTGTTACAAGTGACTTAAAGCAGCATACTCAAAGACTGTTAATGGGTTAGACAGTATTATAAGTGATTCAAGTCATCCTTACATATGGCATCTCTGATTATCTTTTGAAGAGGCATTCCTTTAAGAAGCCACATAAAAACTTATTTTCTCCTAAGTCACACTTCTTTGGGCAAGAAATTGAATTCATTAAGTGGCTCCCCAAAATAAGATGCCCAACTCCTATCTCTGGGAGCGATATCACAGCATTCATTTCATAAAACTTTCAAGTTCCTGTATTATGCTTGTAGAATCCAGGTTCTCAGAACACAGGAGCCCACTGGTATTTGAAAACCTCAGGGGTACACATGTGTGTACACAGTATCTCCAAACCACTGTAAAGAGGTACCCTGATTTGCTAAGTTTCTAAGAACAGTTCAGTTCTCTATAAAGAGCAGTGCCAGAGGCTGCATGCTTTGTTTGACTCTCTCCCAGATAATTATTAGTATTAGATGGCTTCTGTTTTTCAGAAAACAGTTCATGGAAAGGTTTTAAGCATATAAATTTGTTTTCTTCCTAAAGACTTAACTGAATTCCATTTCCAAACCCATCTTCATGGTCGCAAAAAATGCCCCCAGAACAGAAAGACAAGACTGAGGAGACTGTGGCTATTTTGGTCAGCTTCAGTTTCTTCATCTCCATGGATTATCCTGCCTCCAGTCTCCTGAAGCCTTCCTTGAGTCACCTCACACAGAGCTCTCTAGCTGTCTCATCCATTTCTTACAAAGAATATCCCATATACCAGATGTAGCAAGGCCATCGGGGCTCGTATTTGCTCCCTGATCCTTTCTTCCTGCTGTTCTCAAAGAATCCAGTTTTAGACCAGGGCAGAGCATTGCTTCAGGCAGCCTGCTTCTTTTATACTGGATAATCTTCATCATCATCCTCTTACCTGTATGCTTTTCTAAAATAAAGTAAAACCTATTCACAGGCACATGTTCTGCCAGGGCTGTAAGCCTTATGAGCCAGGATGGTGCCCAGAGCCTTGTGGAAGCTGCTTCCTATCTGTGGTTACTACAGCTGTCATGAGGCATCCTCTTCAAAGTGCACAGCCGATCCTCCTGCCTCTAAAGCTCTTTGACACCAACATTCACAAGTTCACAAAGAAAAGTTGCTCCTGACACTGAGGCAAAGCTTTGGAGTGACAAGAAACCCAGAGACAGAAGCTACTCTGTAATAGTTCAACTCTCCACTGAATATTGTGTACTGAAGAAGGGATGCGCACCTCCATAGCCACACTGGCTTTTAGCATGGTGTAGACAGAAGATGCCCTAGTAAATACCTGCGGGTGCCAAGGCAGAAGAGCAGACTAGCCATGTGTAGCACTCAGTTGTCTACCCAATAACCACTTCTATCACCTTGCACCAGCCACTGCAAGTCAGGTCCTCTGTTGCTGCAAGCATTCAGCATGGTACACAACATCATTCCCCTGTACCCCAAACATTACAGTGGTCAGGTTCCTATGGGAATGGCTTCCTTCTATTCTCCCAACACCACTGCCACCTTGGCACATATTCAGCTTGTGTTGCTGCTGAAAAAAGGCAGGAATGAGTGGCCAATGACCAGGGGAGTGAGGAGCCAGGGCTAAGGAGCTACAGTGAGGGAAGGAGAATAGGCAAGGCAAAGGGCACAGAAACCAGCTGCAGCAAACAAAAGCCATTCAACTTAAGGAGCTCAGTTGTATGCAGGAGTCTAGGCAGAGCTAGGGCTCCAGAACCACATGGCATTCTGGTAAGAGCACATCTGAGTATTAGACAAGAGAACAGGGCTGTGGATCAGATTCTGGCAGGCTAGATGTAGCCAGTAGCTGTATGAATGGTTTACAGCTGAGACAAGAGTATGTAATGGAATAACCAAGACAAGAGAAAAATAAGTTAGGAGCACAACCTCCAAATTAAGGAACCAGAAGCTCCGCTGAAGTTGCAGGGACCAGGCCATGGCAGAAGAGGTACTAACACAAAGACAGACCTAGATAACACGTCTGTGGCCTAGGCTTTTATCAGATTTCTGTTGCTGCAGAAGCTACTGATGCTAGACCAGGTGGAAGTAATTGGGAGCACCTGGTTGGTGTACAGAGTAGGAAGGTGAGAGAAAGCACTAGCCTCTAGCAGGTAATCTTGCTAAGTGAATAGAGAGCTAGATTGAACAAGGCCAACGAGAGTGTCCACAGGAGTATCTTGAGCCCAAAATAGCAGAGCCAAACTTTGCCACTGGAGATGGCCACATAACAACTAACAGATGTTCAATATGGTTAAATCCTATTCCCAAATGAGGGCCCCTGTAGAGACACCATGTTTGCAATATGGAGAAAGCATGTCAATGTTGGAAGAACATGGGTTGAGAAGGAGACAAGTCTGAAACTCAATTCTGTCTCTTACTAGCTGTGATTCTGGCAGGTTACTTAACTTCTGTGAGCCTCGATTTTCTTATCTGTAAAATCAGGTTGCCAATAAGTTTTATAATAATAGATTCTGTCATAAGGTTTTCTGATAACTAAATTAGTGAGCATATGTACAGCAATTAAACAGAATACCTGGCCAAAGAGTCAGTGCCCAATAAGTGATAGCCATTATTATTCTTACAAATAGTCATAGTAGTACATATAATACTATTATTGCACATGGAAATCCTCCTTTTTACAAAGATCATCTATTACAACAACAACATTATGAATAGCAGTATAGGTAACCCCAGACTTAAAAAGCTAATCTGTTTCTGGGAACATCTGAAAGTCAAACCACAGTAAGATAAGGTTGTTTATGATGAAGCTTGCAGCTTTACTCTGAACTCTGGTACTGTGCCAGTAAGTTGCATTTTATGCCACACAAATCAAACCATCACATTCTTTCTCTCCCTCCCTCCCTCTCTCCTTGCCTTCCCACATGTATTGCCAGCACTGACTGCAACATCCTGGCAATCACTTGGTAAAGAGTTGGCACTGGTATACGTCGCATTTCCATCTCCATTAGGAAGTGGTAAATACAAGTTCAGGTAGTTACTACAAGGAGAGGGGGTGAATATGAGGAGGGTAAAAAAAATTTTTTAAAGACAGGGTCTTGCTATGTTGCCCAGGCTGGAGTACAGTGGCTATTCTCAGGCACAATCATAGCTAACTGTATCCTTAAACTCCTGGGCTCAAGTGATCCTTCCACCTCAGTCTCCTGAGTAGCTGGAACTACAAGTATGTACCACCATGCCTGGCCCAAGAGTAAAAAATTTTTTAAGTTAGATATGGTAATCTACAAGTTGTATCTTCTCATTTCAGAGACATCTGCATTTGTACAGTGCTTTGTAATTCTTATACATAAACTATCATATTTGACTTCAAAATAACTGTAAAGGAAGCAGGATAAATGTGATCTCTAGCTCACAGAAAAGAAAATTAATGAAGGTCAGAGAGGTTCTGGTGATTTACTCCAGGTCACATACTGTCACAGTATGGTGGAATCAGGCTATCACCTAGATCTCTGGATTTGTAATTTGGTGCTTACCCACCACAACTGGTCTATGACCTGTGGGGTTAGTGTAGCAGTTACTTTTATTTTTAAAAATCTATTTATATTTGATATTTTTCTCTCTCAAAAGAAGTTGTGATTTCTTAAAAATGTAGCTTGCTTTTGAAACAGCCTCATTTCATTTTGTTAATTTTATAAGTACAAAATTTAATTATATTTAATCTCCTTAAATTTGATTATTACTTGAATTGATTTTGATGTATCCAGTATTTTAAAGTTACCTAGAACACATTAAATTGAAAGTATTATGCGCATTGCATTACGTTGGAAAATGTTTCCTTTAGGGAATAGTAAATTACTCACTTTACTGCCCTCAGAGATAAACTGTTCACTATAAAAATGCACTTATGAGCAAAATCAGATGCTTATTGTGACAGTTTAAGGTTTGAAGGGGCCTCATATTTTAATTTTTTAAAATAGCACTTTTGTTTCTTACAAGTTAACAAAACTATGGAGTTATCTATAAAATAAATGTACTGTTTTATTAAAGGCCTATGTACTCTGACATATAGTATGTCAAAATGGGTCAGCTACAGAACTCTATAGTGGATAACAGGTTATTTCTTAGCCAAGCTGACATTTCTAGCTCAGCAGGCAGTTCAGCCTATTTTAAGGTCTTTAAAGTTTTGTAATCTGGTTATCTGGCAATACTAATTATTAGGATACCCAATATCAATTTTTTTGGAGAAGTCAACATCTAAACCAGTATGTTTGTACCAGTAGCTATCCTTTCATATTGTTCAATACCTTAGAGACAGACACACACGGGCGCGCGCATACACACACACTCTCTCTCTCTCTGTCTAATTCCTTTCTCAGAGGAAATCATCTCATATATTTTGTCCCTAAACACAGTTTTAGCACAGATTTCTTTTTTCTGACGTATAAAATCCCTGGCTGAAATAAATTCCGTTTGTTAACTAGGAATGAGGCTTTGTTCACTACAAAAACAAACTGAGAGGAGCAATTGTCAAGATAAACAGGAGGAGGGAAACTAATCGGTCCTAGTTAAAGAAACAAAAGCTTTCCATCTTATTCTTTGGCTGTTTTACTTTAAAGACTATCACTTACCAAGTGGCAAAAATGCAAGACGGTTTCCAGCCATGGAGAGCTCATTGAGGCTGGGCAGCTGGCAGAGATGGCGCGGCACATACCATAGACGATTTCGGTCCACGGTGAGGTACTGCAGAGAAAGGCACATGTGAAGCCTCTCGGGTAAAGTTAGCAAACGATTGGTAGAAATGTCTAGTGTCTGCAGCTCCTTCAAATCGCCAACCTCTACAACCAAAATCAAAATTAGGATAAATTGCATCCTTATGAACTGAAATAAACAAAATGAATCAGTACTATAACAATTTAACCAAATGAAATCAGTAGCTGCAACTATTTCCATTAACATGAATACTCAAGTACAGGATTGCTGGTGAAAATGCAAATAATACAACCTAGGTGGGTGTCTTTAAATTAGCCTGCCAGAATTTCTTCAGTGGAGAAAAGGCTGGCTGGCACAGAGGAAAAATGAGACACAAAATGGTGAATCTGAGTCAGAAGTCTGTCACTATGGCTTCTGCATCCTGAAGAGTCAAAATCGTTGCTAGGGTGAGAAGAGAACAATTACAGTCACTTTGAGGAACCTGGTTTTTGCCACTTGTGTGATTTCACCATCCATCTAAGTAGAAAATGGAGATTTTATGAATAATAGCCCTGAAGTAAGTGCAACTTAGATGGACGGTGTTCATAGGAAGTAAACAGATTTCTGAAGTAGAAATTCGAATCTTTTGGAAATTTTCACCATAGCAAAGATTATAACAATAAAATGAGATACAGTTAAAGAACATTTTTAGATACTGTTCAAGCATGTGGCTTCTTTTAAAAAACCTGAAGTATACATACCCTGTAAGGATTTAATTCCAAAATTAAATATTTCCATTTATTCCAAAATTCCCTCATCATTGATGTCTACAGTTGTCATCTGTTCCATGGTGAGTACAATTATGTCCTTTTCATATATCAAATCAGTAAGACTTGAGTGAAGATTAGGAAGTTCCTTATAAGGAACTTAGTCCTTCTCAGGGAAAATCCTTCCATTTTAGGGGAAGGACATTTACTCTTTCCCAGGACAGTACATTACACTGAAGACTCTACAGTTAGCACTGTGCAGGACAAGTCCACTTTTACATCACGTAGACTTAGATGTTGAAGACCACTGTGATGCCATCTCTTCCCCTTCTCTCATCCTGCCCCGTTCCTGAGCCAGTCCTCTTCGGTTAAGGTTGGCCATGCTCTACTACTTGACAGCACCACTCTATGCACATTCCAGTTTGTTCAAGACTTGGATTAGCATTAGCAATGTCTTCTCTACTGGATAAGAGTCTTCTGACGTCTTGGATGCTGAATTAAACAGATTAGCTTTTCTCATTGCTACAGACCAGGTGGTGGCAAACTATGGCTCACAGGCCAAATCTAACACATGGCCTGTTTTTGTTCTGCCTGCAAGCTGAAACTGGTTTTTTACATTTTTAAAGGATGGTAAACCATGATAAAAGCAAAGAACATGTGACAGAGACCATATGTGGCCTGCAACACCTAAAAATATTTACTATCTGGGCCGGGCATGATGGCTCACGCCTGTAATCCCAGCACTTTGGGAGCCCGAGGCAGGTGGATCACGAGGTCAAGAGATCGAGACCATCCTGGTCAACATGGTGAAACCCCGTCTCTACTAAAAATACAAAAAATTAGCTGGGCATGGTGGCGCGTGCCTCTAATCCCAGCTACTCAGGAGGCTGAGGCAGGAGAACTGCCTGAACCCAGGAGGCAGAGATTGCGGTGAGGTGAGATTGTGCCATTGCACTCCAGCCTGGGTAACAAGAGCGAAACTCCGTCTCCAAAAAAAAAAAAAAAAATTTTACTATCTGGCCATTTACAGAAAAGGTTTGCTGATCTTTGCTACAGACTTATTAAAGAAGCGTTTTAAATAATTATTTTACTTCATAAAAGTAATACAAGTACAAAATACCCTAACTTATTGTTACTTTTCTAATATTTACAAATTTGTGCTAGGAAGTTCATACATTACTGCTCAATTTCCTCAATACTAAACAAAACATACATCTGCAGCGGTGCAGGTGGGCAGGATTCAGTATACAGCCTGTGACTCTGAAGGGGAGTTTTCTACTCGAACTCAACTGGTGCACAGGGGAGTCAATTTCACACTTGGCTCCACCGGCACAATATTCTACCTTACTAAGCCTGTCTATCTCTTTCACAAAACAAAAATGCTTCTGATTTTGGGTGTGTGGGGATAAAACATGAGGAAGAATCATCATATTTTATGTCATAAGAAGAAATACAAAGAAAAAAGAAAAAGAACTAAATTTAAAAACCAAAAAATAACTATGTGGTTATTCCCAGACATACCACGAGCCGTGTCAAGACAGGGATGAGACAAGGCCTCTGCCATTGAGAAGCACATCGCACACAACGGACAAGGTGCAAAAGGAGCTCAGAGCAAGTTGCATGAAGGCTTGGAGAAATTCTTCCAAAATTTCCTGGAGATGGGAATTTGAATATGGCACAAAGAAAATGCATAAAGCATTCAGAGGGCATAGGGGTGGGGCTAAAACCATGAGGAAAGGCATGGAAGTGAAAAATACAGCTGTACAATACAGCTGTTGGCTCTCTGGGGACCAACAAATATACAGCTGTTGGCTCTCTGGGGACCAACAAATACCAAAGACACCAATGGTAGAAGAGCAGAAAATAAATCCAATACAGAGACAGAGCGTGGTGGAGACAGGAATGATAATAAATACTGGGGAGAGGAGCCTGGACTTACTATTTTGAGAATATGACATCTCCTGAAGATTCTTAAAGGATGAAAGGATGTTTTTTGGAAAGGTTAGACAGGCAAATATGAAGAAAGCAACAATATAGAAAGAGATCCTAGGCTGACAAAACAAGTAGACATTTAACTAGAACAAAGGCAGTGCATTAGAACTTGAAGGCAAATTCCGGGGGTACTTAACAAAAGCATGAGGTAGGCTTGATTGGATATGGAAAATAATAAGAAAAAGTCAAACACAGTTACAAGCTTCTAGACTATTACACTCCGAGAGTGCTGATGCCAATGCTAAAAATTTATTTTTATAGAAGAACAATTAAAATGTCATCAATACCTCTGAATTACGTTATTTACAAACAATCTACCTAAAGGTATTTGAGAAAAACCCATCAAAATTTACATGGAAGAAGTAAAATAATAAATAAAATAAAATAAATGATTTTGAACTATTTCAAAAATAATTAAATGTGCCATGTAAAAGCTTTTTTTTTTTTTTTTTTGCAAAAATTACTAAGGCTTGCACTTGTTCTTCATTTTAAATTTGTTTTGCATTATTGTAAAACAACAATATGTAATTATGAATTTAACTTTTGATGAGAAATATTAAAGACTTAAGTTTCAATAAAGACCAAGTAGGATAAACACAGAGAGACCCATACCTATAAACATCATAATCAAACTATGAAAGACAAAGATCTTGAAAGCATCAATAGAAAAATGGCTCATCATGTTCAGAGGAAACAAGATAACTAAAAATCTGTAGTTAAAAAAAGTCAGCACAGTAATTGAAATCACACACTAAAAGTATTTATCTAACATGAGAAAAAAAACATATAAGATACGTACACTTTGGGAGGCCGAGGCGGGTGGATCACGAGGTCAAGAGATCAAGACTATCCTGGTCAACATGGTGAAACCCCGTCTCTACTAAAAATACAAAAAAAATTAGCTGGGTATGGTGGCGCGTGCCTGTAATCCCAGCTACTCGGGAGGCTGAGGCAGGAGAATTGCCTGAACCCAGGAGGCGGAGGTTGCGGTGAGCCGAGATTGCACCATTGCACTCCAGCCCGGGTAACAAGAGCGAAACTCCGTCTCAAAAAAAAAAAAGATACGTACACTACAAATGGCAAAATGGTTGATGCATTAATAAACACAATCATATCAATAATTACATTAGATGTGAACAGACTAAATAACCCAATCAAATGGGAAGAATGTCAACTGCATAAAAAACAATATGCTATCCATAAGAAATACACTTTAGATTCAAAAGCACAAATAGATTGAAAAGTAAAAGGATGGAAAAAAATACATATCATGCAAAAAGTAACATGAGAGAGCAGCTATATTCATATCAGAAAAAATAAGAAATACTGTAAGAGGCAAAGAGGATTATTTCATAATAGTAAAATGCATATTTTAGGAAGATAAGTTACCTATAAATTGTATACAGACATCTAACAAGAGAGCCCAACATTATATAAAGCAAAAAACTGACAGAACAGACATTTCAACATGATAGATGGTGATTTTAATACATGACTCACAACAAAAATAGAGCAACTACTAAACAGAAGATCAGCCTGAATACAGAAAACTTAAAACTACACAATCAACCAAATGGGCTTGGGCCATAATCCTAAAAGACACAATGCTGAAAACCTGAAAGATCCAAATCCAAAGAGTGTAAAATCTTGCATAAAAATCACAATCCTGAAAGATCAAAATCCCAAAAGTATAATTCTGGAAAGAAATAATTTTTAAAAATTATTTTTTAAAAAAGACACATTTTTAAAAGAGGGTTTATTTTAGAAACATTAAAAACCTAACAATATTTGATAGGTCACTTTACACAATAAAATAGACAATAATAGCATTTTTTTTTGCAAGCATAAACACTCATATATATTAATCATAGTTGCATGAGTATAACAGTACAAGCAGACATATTCATGTCTGCTTTCATAAGGACATATTTCATAAGGAAATTTCATGACATATTTCATAAGGAAATATGTCAAAAACCAAAATGCATAAATGCATACAAGGATATATTTCATAAGGAAATTTCATATGACATATTTCATAAGGAAATATGTCAAAAACCAAAATGCATAAATGCATACAACTATGGTTGACGACTGTGTGCAGTCAGCTTTCTAACTGTAGTCAGCTGCATGAAACACTGTGATGAACAACCTAAGTCTTCTGACGAGATCAATGAAAAACTGTGATGGGTCATCACCGAGTATACAGTTATCCATATCCAAAGAGCCAATCTCTTTGAACATCTCTTCATTTACTGAGGAAGGTTCAATCTTTTTCATACATGCACAGTGCTTATACTTATACCCAAAGTTAACATTGTGATAATGCACTTTTATGGACACAAATTTATAAAAATGCACAAAACAAATCAGAACTCTCTAAATTT